TGGCTCGGCAGGCGGCCCTTCCAGCGGCTGGTGCGCGAGATCGCGCAGGACTTCAAGACCGACCTGCGCTTCCAGAGCTCGGCCGTGATGGCGCTGCAGGAGGCGAGCGAGGCCTACCTGGTGGGGCTCTTCGAGGACACCAACCTGTGCGCCATCCACGCCAAGCGCGTCACCATCATGCCCAAGGACATCCAGCTGGCCCGGCGCATCCGCGGCGAGCGCGCTTAAAGCTTCTAGCAAACGGATCTTTTAGGCTATCGAAAACCCAAAGGCTCTTTTAAGAGCCACCACATGACCACTAAAGAGAGCTGTAAACTCTTGAGTTCTGCGTAGGAGGTGATGCGTTTCCATGTGCTTTTCAGGTAGCTGCAGTGAGCGTATCTTGTCAAGTAAGTACTGAACAAAATGCGTGTAAGTCACGTTACAAAGGTGTTGAAAGAGATTCTGACCGTAGCAAAGCTGTATGGTGTGTTCAGTTACTGTTGAGGTGATAGTGCTAAGACTGGGCAAGTTCCTGTTTAGGGAGAAAATGCTTTCTGACTGCTTTTTCAGATAACTTTAACTGATAAGGAACAAAATTGGGTTCCTTTTCTGAAGGACATACCCGGCTCGAAAACGTTTGTGTATATATTTTTTTTTTTTCTGTGGCTTGGCTGCATATCTTAAAATCGTTTGTACAAACTCGTTGAATTTGTAAGATCACTATACAGAGGTCTGCCTTTCTGACTAGAGAAGATGTATTCAGAGTTAAGTATGTTGTGAAAGCCTCCTGCTGTACTGCATTTACTTTATATTCTTATCGTAGCAACATTATACTTTATTGTCCTGACAGAAATATTATTTTCCTTTTCAAACCCCTTTTGTGTAAAATGTTTTTTTTTTTTTTGTTGGGGGGGGGGGGGCGGGGGGTTAAGGCGTTTTGTTTCTGAAGACTCAAGAAGTCATTTCCTTTCCTTCCAGGAAAGGTGCTTGGTTGGTAGTTGTTCGTTAGTTTTCAGTGATTTATCACTCGTTATCTGATTGTCCCTGTCACAAACGACGTCCCCCGGGCACCTTCAGCCCTTTTCAAGCACTTCTAGTCTATTCCTGAGTTAAATCTATTTCTAGAGACAGCTGGGGGTAGGGTGGTGGTGAAGGTAATTTCTGTGAATTCTATTTTTAATAGGTGTATTTTCTGCTGGTGTTTTTTTGGGGACAAGCTCGTGGCATCGTTGATGGTTCTGGGTATATCACTTCTGTCTGAATGATTAGACTCCTAGTTGGATGAATTTTCTCCATCTGTGTTCAGACTCCTGGAACTATTTGCTGAACTGAGCACAGAGGAATTGTTTTCTAAGGATTATTAGTGATTAAAAATTTGACATCGAGATCAGAATTGCTTTTAAATGAAGTGTCTTCACTATCTGTCCTATTTAGTGATTTTTGTGAACTTACCTGGAAAACAGGGTTTCTTGGTGACTGTAAGTTCAGCTGCACACTGCCTTGCCCTTCTACTTAATAGAGCTGTAACTAGTGCCTGGAAAATGTAGATTTACAAAATGATTTCTGAATCTCCGTCACCTTTCAACTTTGTATTTTTATATGTATATTTTGCAGGCTGTTTTACATAATTTGAGAAGCTTGCTGTTCCTTTGAAGGAACAGCAAACTCGAATAACCAAGTTGCAAATGACAACTTGGTTATTCAATGCTCCAAACGAGCAGCTGCGCCTTTAAGAAGCGGCTGGACTGAGTCGAATGAAGCTTTCATTTAAACTTGGAAACAAGGAGAGACAGAATCGCTTAGAGGAAATATTCCTTTTGGGAAGCCTAAAACTGCAAGACTCTCGCTTATCTGTGAATTAGTGATAACTCTTCATCTTAGAAAATATTCTTTTCTCTGTGTGAGGAACTTGGGACTCTGCAGCAAAATCCGACCAATCAAGTGCCTCCACACACCATTTTCTTTCCCTTGTTTTTCTCACTTTCAGCCATTTTCTGTTACTTAACCTCGGAGAGGTAAAAGGGAGGGGGGATGATGGTATCAGGAATAGGGCTTTGGGAATTAAGATATTCTATGTAATATATTTTCCCCTTCCCCCTTATTTGTTCATCGACCTCGGATTTGTGTTTTTTCAGAACACTGTTGTTTGGTTTGTTGGGATTTTTTTTAGTAGATGATTACAGTGGGATTGCAGAAATGAGTTAGTGAAAGCAAACTAATTTCCTATTACTGTGATATCAAAAGATCTATTCGTTTATCTAAACCTGGTTATATATGTTTAAGATAAATTATTAATAATTTTAAAAATAGCTACTTTATTCAATTTCATATAGCGGATATTTAATATTTTAATACACTTCAGCAGGAAAAGCTTGGGTCAAAAATGATGCTTTTGTGCATGTTCAAGAAATAAACAATTTTTGAAGAGTGGGAAAGGGAAATAGTTTTTATTGGTCTTTATCAATTTTATTCTAGTCTTTTGAGGATCTTGGACTGCTTTCATAAATACAGTGTTACTTGGGATTAATTTCAGAGCTGCAGGCTTAAATTACATAAAAAAAAAAAAACAAAACCCAAACAATAATCCACCAGCTGAGGAGGAAATAGATGTGTAAGTTTTCTTGCAGGAAGGATGAGCTCATATGAACCCTAAATGCCTGAGTCTGAAGTGGTTTTGGGGTATAATACATTATGAAAGGACACTAATAATAATGTATCATGGCTTGTCCTAGTGGACCAGGCTAGCCATTGGGAAGAATTTACGGTGTGTGTTTTGAAGTCTGTAACAGCTGCAAACAGTTCTAGTAGTGACGTGGAATAATGGTAGACTGATTGTAGCTTATACAATAGGCTTTGCTCTTCCCTCCTTAGACAAGTGATAAATCTTACCTGGAATCCTATCAGTTTGCAAGTGGTGTTGAATCACTTAACTATAAAAGAGCACAACAACAAATCCCAAACCAGATGTAGGTTGGGGGGAGGGGGGAGAGAAAGATCCTTTCATAAGTTATGAATAAGAATTGATATCAAGAGTATTTAATTAAGTTGGGCTTTTTGAGCAAAGATAAATTACTGAAGAATTTGATAGACATCTTGCACTAGCTATAAAATTCAGAGAAAACCTAAATATCAGTTAAACCTGATACAGAATAGATCCTGGAAGCTATTTGCTAAAACAAAAAAATCTGAACACACCATGAATGAGAGGTAAATCTGAATTTGCTATAGGTAGTTTATTTGATGTAACATTTCTTTAGTCTAAGACACACACAGATGACTTAATGGAAGATTTTCAAGGTTCATCTCCTCCAAGTTCAAAGGCATTGCATCCCCAAAAGGAAGAAATCAGGCAAAAACACCAGGAGACCTATATGGATAAACAACTCCTGGCTAAAATCAAATACAAAAGGGGAATACACAAAGCATGGAAGCAGGGACGGGTAACCTGGGATGGTTACAAGGAAGTTGCTCGTGTACTCAGAGACCAGGTTAGAAAAGCTAAGGCCCTGATAGAGTCAAATCTGGCCAGTGATATTAGAAATAACAGAAAAGGATTTTATAGGTATGTGAAAAAAAACCATAAAAAAGGAAAACAAGAGAGAATGTGGGACCTCTCCGGAAGGATATGGGTGACCTGGTTACTGAGGACATGGAGAAGGCTGAAATATTCA